TTCATTCTTAAAAATCTAACATACTTTTATCTAAAACAAATGGTATGTACATAATATTCCCAAAGCAACATGTGAGTAAATCACCAATGTCTAGTAGGCACACACTTATCATCTGGATCCCAGGCAAACTAGAATTATTATACACTTACATACATAAAAGCAATATTTACGGTTTTTCACTTAGTTTTGCAATCTGCTAATTTCTTGGTACTTTGAAGAGATATATCGTTTCTCCTTGAACGAATGAAAATCAAGCAAAACAAAAGTAAAATTACCAGAATTTCTTTCTTCTTTTTCTCCATGTCTCATTCTCTGATGAAGCTTTAATAAAAGTGAAACATGTCAGAATGATAAACATTTATTATTTGTTCTTTATCTCACCATTCCATCAGATTTTTATCCATATTTGATCTGTATCTCACCCCAACTTTTTATATATATATATATATATATATATATATATATATATATATTTCTGAGATGAGGTATTGTAACTATTTACATTGTTTGGACTGTTGTCCTCATCTTTATTGCCACATTCACAATATTTCAGCCACTTCCAACAAATATCACTTGAAGAAGGCAATAAAGATGAAGATAACAGTCTGAACAATGTAAATAGAGTGTGCGTATATATATATATATATATATATATATATATATATATATATATATATATATAGAGAGAGAGAGAGAGAGAGAGAGTAAAACTAAAAATGAGGCAAAAATTAAGGATTATCAAGTCTGGTTCTATCTTTAATCTTTGAAGATTGAACAATCCTTCATTTCTGAGGAGGGGAAACTTAAGTTGCTACATTTTCATTTTTTGTTTATTATTTTACAATTCATAGGCTCTACGTATTGACCACTTTTAATTGCCAACTTTATCGTAGTTGAAGTTTATCAACTATGATTATGTTTCATTTATTATATATTGTTGTAACCTAGAAATGGTTAGTGAATGAGAAATAACCAAAACGGAGGTTGGGAATGGAACGGTAATCTTTATAACATCAACAAAATACAACACTTGCCAGTGGCATGAAGTAGGTAAACCACTGCTTTTGGTGGACTATTTAGACAATATATTACCCCACTTACAATAGTGTCCAACATATTTATGAGTATTGGGACATACCCATTAGTGTTCATATGTAGAGTGTATATAATACATACATACATGCATTATATAAAAAAGTGATGAATTTTTATTTATTAATCTGACAGATTTTATTCCTTAAACATTATTTTTAGTGGCCACTCATGATTAAAGAAAAAATGTGCTCTATGCCAGGATTCAAACCTGCGTCCCCGTTTCTCCTGCCAAGGTCCGAATCCTGCTGGGAGCACATATTTTTCTTTAATAATATTTTTTCTTTAATATTCAGGTCAGCTGACGAAAACAAACAAATGTACTGTTTAATAAATAGATGGGGCATCTACTCAAATATGGGTATCCACTAAAAATAACATTCTAGTAATAAAATACACACACACATATATATATATATATATATATATATATATGTGTGTGTGTGTATGTATGTATAGATATATTACTGTCAACTGATTTAAATAAAATTTGAATAAGCTAGAAACTAATCAACTGACAAAATTCTGTCCCACTTGTGGTATGACTGCATCAATCTAGAATCAGTTAACATGTGTAAACATGAACTGGGAGAGTTAGTAAGGGAATAAATATTGCTTAGAGCTACAAAGAATAGGAAGATGTATAGAGGTATAGATCACCCACATCCTGATGGAACACTAGACATAAAAGAAGAGTACAGTATAAATACAATAGCTGAAAAAAAAAAAAAAAGTGCATTCACACACACATATATATCGTACACAACCGTCAATAATAGCAGATATTCAAAAAACATCTTTCGGTCGACAAACAATTAATTCATCTTCAAGTTTTTGATTTTATAAGGAAAAAAACAACACATGCCTGATGATGAATAGAAGACTATTCGTAAGTACTAGCATTTTAAGAACACATAAACTGAAAACAACAGACATCAATTTTATAAGCGAGGATCACTTCACTCTATGGATTAACAGTATTTTAATGCATACATTATACTACTAGCGATGGATGTCGCCAATAATCGCATTAATATTTCTGATTGATTCTATGTGTGATTATTTCTTTGAATATATATGTGTGTGTGTGTGTGTGTGTGTGTGTGGTGGACTCTCCCATCATATTCGACGTATGAGGATCAAGCAGCTCAGTTCCTAGGAACCAACAGCCCAGACACCAGCACATATGATTGATTCTAGTGGTGAAGGCTTTGTGCAGAACCATCCACTTTTTGAAGAGCCGAATACAGAGACCTGGTGCACTACATGCCACAAGGTCCCCAAACAACATTCTGCAGCTTTTGAATTCAGAGTTGTCCTTCTCCTAGACCAGTTACCACCCAAGGCTATAGAACCCAGTCTGTCCTGTTATTTACCCATAGCTGGAGGGAGAAGAGGATTAATACCTTTCCCAAGGGTATTAGCACATAAGTGAATGTAATGGATTCGACTGGAATTTCAGCTGGTATCCACTACTCCACTGTGCCTCCTATATATATATATATATATATATATATATATATATATATATAGGCAATGTTTAACCTTTGTGCCCACAAAAAAAACAAAAAAAATGTGTGTCAAAAGGATGCTCATTTTATTGACACTGCCATTACTGTATACAGTTTTGACTCCCTCAGCAATGTTTGTTTTAAAAAGCAATGATTAGAATTTTAACTAAACCTAAACATATGAAAGTGGGTTTATACATTTTCTTTATTCTTGAGAATTGACAACAAAGATATTAGACATTATTTATTTATTAGATTGCTTTTTTGCAAGGATAATTTTATATTCATTTCCAACATTATAAAAACATTATTATATGTAAACCAGCCATAATGAAATATTTTTATTTACTATTTTATGAAGGAATAAATATGAAAATAGTTTTTTATTCATAAATTTATGAAAAGGTTTGTGATCAAGAAGATTTAAATAAACAAATAACGACAACTGTAATTATAAATTTTGAAAAAATGCATTTTCCAGGCATTTCATTTGCTCTAACCCAAGGCCATACCTACTATAGGTATGACCTGACCTGAAGTGGAACAACTACATTGAATCTATAGCTTCATCTACCGCAAGGAAAGTTGGTTTTCTGGGTCGTGCCAGAAGGTTCTTCTCGCCGGAATCCATCCTTCAAATCTACAAATCAACCATTCATTCTTGCAGGGAATACTACTGCCATATATGGTCTAGTGCTCCCACTGTTTATCTCAAGGTCCTAGACAAAATCCAAAGATGGATATGCAACATGCTTGGTCCTGTTCTCGCATCCCGTCTGCAGTCACTTCCTCACAGACGTGCTGTGGCTACCCTCTGTCTTTTCTACAAATACTTTCATGGCAACTGCTCCAACAAGCTACTTTCACTGGTCCCCAAATTGAATGAATTTGAGCGTGCTACTAGGTTGGGATCTCAGTCCCACCCTTTCACTGTCAAAACGGCTAAATGTAGCCATTTCTTCTACTCCAACAGCTTCTGATCTCGCACCTCTCGTCAGTGGAACTCCCTATCACTTGCTTCCCTGATAGCTATAATATTCAAATGTAGTGTCAATCGACATCTTCTGATGTCTTGACCTTGATCCCTCTCCTTCTCTTTATCCTTTTCTCAGTCCTCTTTATTCTTACTCTCACTCTCTGTACCCCTTGTGTGCTAGTGGTACTTGTGCCTTGCTTGAGGTGAATTGCTTATAAAAATAAATAAATAAATAAATAAAAAAGGTATGGCTTTGCTTTCACCACATAAATTCACTAAATATGAAAGCATCTCTTCTACTGAACCAAACATTCTTTTATGTTTGTCATGTTTATTCAAATTCTCTTGTTCTATAGTTATTTATAAAATGATAAATAATAAATATTGTGCTGTATTTGGTTTACATATTTTGACAATTTTGTCATTTTATTGTAAAGTTTTCTAAATCTAATGTGCCTTACAAAGGGAAATAAATCTTAATGTATTCATCATTTTAACATTTTTCTATTTCTGTAATCTTTATTAAAAGAAATTTAATATTAATGAAACAATATTTTTGTTTCTATCCAAGTTGATTTTAAGATGGATAGACTGTTTTATATTTATAATTTTTAGATTCTCCATCAGCAAAAAGAATTAATTCGTGAGTTTGGCTTTTTAGCTTATTTATTGTCATTGAATATTACCTACAATTCTGTTCTATTTAAATAGAATATTTAATGGTTTGCTTTATTTTGTTTTACAGCATATCAACCTCAATATGTTTTTCCTCAAAAATCTATTTCTGGGAATATTTTTTCTTGAAGAAATCTATAGCTGGTCATATTTTTTTTCAAAAAATGTATTGCTGATAATAATTTTTCCTTCAAAATTTATTGCTGGTAATAATTTTCTTATTACAAAGTATTTCTGGTATTAAAACCTATTTTTACACAAGTTTGGGTGTTTACTATTTGCCCATAGATGGGACCCTAACAGGTGCTACCACCCCGGGTTAGGGTGGACATGGGAACACCAGCAATTAAGAGGTGGTTCCATGCTCCTCAAAACCTCCTTATCAGAGGCCTTGCTGCTGGATGTAGTCTATAGTCTTACTCAGGACATGGATGTAGTTTATCCTCATATCTAGGACGAAGAATATTTAATGAATATGCAAGTAGTGAGATACCTTGTGATTGCAATAGGAATTAAGGGTATATTAATAAAAGTATTATTGTAGGTAGACAACCAAGAATTATTGATAGATCTTTGGGTTGCAGATAGCTTATAATAGTGATTTTTAAAATAATTGTCTTAAGTACATATGCCCCTGGCATCAGTTGAAGGTGAAATTAAGAAAATATGAACTTTAAGGAAAATAGTCTTAATAGAGAGTGAGATATCAATAGAGAGAGAGAGAGAGATCAATAGAGAGAGAGAGATCAATAGAGAGAGAGAGAGAGATCAATAGAGAGAGAGAGAGAGATCAATAGAGAGAGAGAGATCGAGAGAGAGAGAGAGAGAGATATCAACAGAAATAGAGAGAGAGAGATCTCAAAAGACAGAGAGAGAGAGAGTGAGATCTCAAAAGACAGAGAGAGAGAGAGAAAGATCTCAACAGACTGAGAGAGAGAAAGATATCAACAGAGAGAGAAAGATATCAACAGACTGAGAGAGAAAGATATCAACAGACTGAGAGAGAGAGAAAGATATCAACAGACTGAGAGAGAGAGAAAGATATCAACAGACTGAGAGAGAGAGAAAGATATCAACAGACTGAGAGAGAGAGAGAGAGATCAACAGACTGAGAGAGAGAAAGATATCAACAGACTGAGAGAGAGAAAGATATCAACAGACTGAGAGAGAGAAAGATATCAACAGACTGAGAGAGAAAGATATCAACAGACTGAGAGAGAAAGATATCAACAGACTGAGAGAGAGAGAGATCAACAGACTGAGAGAGAGAGAGAGATCAACAGACTGAGAGAGAGAGAGAGAGATCAACAGACTGAGAGAGAGATATCAACAGACTAGGAAAGAGGGAGATATCAGCAGACTGAATGAGAGAGAGAGAGAGATAGATATCAGCAGACTGAGATAGAGAAAGATATCGACAGACAGAGAGAGAAAGATATCGACAGACAGAGAGAGAAAGATATCAACAGACAGAGAGATATCAGCCGACTGAGAGAGAGAGAGATATCAACGGACTGAGAGAGAGAGAGAGAGATATCAACAGACTGAGAGAGAGAGATATCAACAGACTGAGAGAGAGATATCAACAGACTGAGAGAGAGATATATCAACAGACTGAGAGAGAGAGAGATATCAACAGACTGAGAGAGAGAGAGAGATATCAACGGACTGAGAGAGAGAGATATCAATAGGCTAGGAAAGAGGGAGATATCAGCAGACTGAATGAGAGAGAGAGAGAGAGATAATAGATATCAGCAGACTGAGATAGAGAGATATCAATAGACAGAGAGATATCGACAGACAGAGAGAAAAGATATCGACAGACAGAGAGAGAGAGATCAGCAGACTGAGAGAGAGATATCAAAAGACTAGGAAAGAGGGAGATATCAGCAGACTGAATGAGAGAGAGATATCAGCAGACTGAGATAGAGAGATATCAATAGACAGAGAGAGAAAGATATCGACAGACAGAGAGAGAGAGATATCAACAGACAGAGAGAGAGAGATCAGCAGACTGAGAGAGAGATATCAACAGACTGAGAGAGAGATATCAAAAGACTAGGAAAGAGGGAGATATCAGCAGACTGAATGAGAGAGAGATATCAGCAGACTGAGATAGAGAGATATCAATAGACAGAGAGAGAAAGATATCAACAGAGAGAGAGATATCAACAGACAGACAGAGAGAGAGAAATAGATATCAACAGACTGAAATAATGAACAGATATAGACATATAGATAAACAAAGGCAAAGTAATCAAGCAGATAGATAATGAAAAAGTGAATCTAGCCGAACAATGTTATTCATCATCACCACCATCATTAATCTAAATTTGCTAACCATTATCCCATGCAGAGGCCCCTCAACCCTTGTTCAGTTATTTCATACTGAATATTGTATGGGTCACTCAGTGAGAATCAAATTCACTACTCAGTAGTAATGGACTAGGCCCCTTTTTATGCCAGATTTCTGCCACTTTAACGGTCATTACAGAATATCATAATCTGTCCTTAAAGTGTAGCAGGAAATAATACGATGGAATTATCTAAATTTCCCTTAAAATCTTACTGATATGATTTCACAAAAAAATCCAGGCAAGAATTTATTTGTCCACATGAAACAAGCGAGTTTATTTTCACACATTAGAAAATAAAATCAGTGTAAAGGAGTTCAAATTTACTTACAAGATTCTTTCCCTTAGCACAGAGAGTTCATCCTTAACCAAATCCACCTTGTTGATAATCACAAGGTCAGCAAGAGCGATTTGTCTGCAGGCAAAGACACAAAATAACATTATATCAATTTATTATAACAAATTTTGGGCAAAGAAACTTTTTAAATAGAACTGATTAAAATTATGCCCTGGAAACAAAACATTTGTCAAAAAATTTTGAGTGAGTGGAGAAAAAAAAGAGATATTAAAAAAAAAAGGGAAAAAAAGAAAGAGATGTGTAGAGTATGGAATCAAAAAAATAATTTTTCTCAAATAAACTTAATTTTTCCCACCCACCAAAAAAAAAAAAATAAATAAATGAATAATAATTTTTTAAAATAAAAAAAATATAAACAAATATTTTCAAAAGAAAATGAATAATCTTCTATTTTTTTTTTTTTAAAAAAAATAAAAATATCCTGCTGTGTGGACACCCTGGGGGCAGACACAAAGCCAAGTTAAAATGAGAAATTATTCAAAGCCAGATATCATATTTGCTGGCGGCCAACCATTTTGTCAGAGTTAAAGCAAGGGGATGAGTTAGAACAAACAGACAATTGTGGACAACTGGTTGTATGACAGTTTTGCAAACATGCACAACAATTTAATGAGGAAGAAATGCACAAAGAATTGAATGTGTAAAAATAAAAAATTATAAACGTTTTCCTTTCTTTTTATTTGAAAAAATCAAATATTAAATTATATTTTGAACATCAGCTAATCTGCGAATTACCATAAGAGGACAAGGTGAACATAATTGAAGTTTGTTGGGCTCAATCATGACAAGCCAATAAAACACATCAACATTGTATTGTTAACAAATACCTGTACTGTTTTCACCATGTATATTGCAGATATGTTTTTAAAAAAAAGAATCTCGTATTCAAAGTTCAAATTCATTCATTAAAAAACATAATCCAAACAAACTTCAGAAGCACTGTTTGCCATTTCAGTTCTTATTGAAAACTTAGATGCGAGGTCTTTCTTTACTATATGTACTGATAAAAAAAATTATCATAACTCTGCATGGTCCTCTCTTCACACATCCATTACAATCAGTTATTACCTCTGACCACTTCATATTGATTGCATGGAAAGACAGAAGAAAACGATATAGCAGAGATAGTGCCTAGTTTTAGTTAGAAAGTGAAAGCATACATAATAAGTAAGAAAGAAAGAAATTAGAAAAATGAAAAGAGAAGTAAAAGAAAAGAAAGCATGAAGAAATAAGAAAGAAAAATGAAAAGAAACAAGAAATAAGAAAGAAAAATGAAAAGAAACAAGAAATAAGAAAAATAAAGAGAAAAGAAAGAATGAAGAAATACGAAAGTAAAACTGAAAGAAAGACTGAAAAAATACCAAAGAAAAATGGAAAGAAAGTGAGAAAAGGAAGAAAGAGGAAGTGAAAATGCTATCAGACACTTAAAATCCACTTCCATATGATGAAAAGACCAATATTACCATTACAGATGAGAACAGAGACTATAATTGGTAGTTACTTATCCCCACCCACCACAGTGACAGCATATGGCACAAGGCAGATTTAAAGTGTGGAGCCCAAGCATGTGACCTTAAGTCAAGGCCAAAAATTACCATGATATAAATAGCATCTGTACAGATTATTACATATATGCATCATGAGTATTTATGAAAATCTATATAAATTAAGGGAGGCATGGTGGAGTAATGAATAAGCGGCTTGAATTGAGGAATCAGAGAGCCAAGTTCAAATTCCAGTTGAATCCATTACATTCACTTACATGCAAATACACTTGGGTAAGGTATGAATCCTCTTCTTCTCCCTGAAGTTATGGCTAAATAGCAGGACAGACAGATTTCTATAGCCTTGGATAGCAACTGGTCTACGGCAGAAAGAAATGGCAACCTACTGCAGGAAAAAAAATCTGCCTCTTCAGTCATGTATCGAAAGATACATGATCACCTAAGTGTGTATCCCACATGGCACATAACTGACTGATATAAATTAAAGTTTGATGAAACAAGTAAATTTTATCCTCTTAAATTATAAGACACGTCATTAAAATATATTTTATATAGAAATGCATTAAAACTCAAAAAAGATAGGGACTGTCATTGGTTAGGAATTATTTCAATGACAGAAAAGGGTTATTATAAGTATAATGTAAATTCATTGCTAATGGTTTTACTATAGAATTACATTACTAATAATGAATACATAGTAAATGGTTTTATAACAGAAAAATATTGTAAATGTGGAAAAAAAAACTGTTAGTGGTTAGGAATTAATGTAAACATTATTAATAAAATAAGGGTATTATATGAATATTTTTAATAATAAAAGACACACATAATTACTTGAAAAATCTAATTCTTTCATTAATTCCTGGATTAAGGATGAAATGAAAAATCAAACCATACAGCTCTACACTGGAATTCATTGCTTTTTATGACATATTCCACTCAAGTAGCTTATTCTGAAAAAATGCTGCCTTGTGGAACCGACACCCAAGAGAATGCTTTTCCAATCTTTAGAATCTTAACCTCTTCAAGTCTTAACTGTTATCGTCTTCACATATCTTCATAAAACTGTTCCTCTTACTCTGCAAGCCTCTATCTCAATTGGCTCTCGGACATTGTACAGGATGAACATTGAAAAAAAAATAAAAATAAAAAAATAAATTAAATTACCTGAGTGCTTCATTTACAGATCCATCTGGTTTTTCTTCATCTAAATGCTATAAAAAATAAAAAAAATAATTATATGACTCCACAAAAAGTCAAAAATATCTTTGTAAATATATTTTACTGATGAAAAGTTGATTTGAATAACAAAGTATATTATAAAAATTGGCTAAGTCAGTATATTATAAAAATTGGCTAAGTCAGTATATTATAAAAATTGGCTAAGTCAGTATATTATAAAAATTGGCTAAGTCGGTATATTATAAAAATTGGCTAAGTCAGTATATTATAAAAATTGGCTAAGTCAGTATTAGCAAACAACAAAAGAAAAAATGAAATCAGTATTTTCTTTAACCAACCAGACAATGAATTAGGAAGAAAAAGAGATTGAAAACTGCAACTTTGTAATATTGACATTTGTTTCCTACATACATATATGTGTACATATGCATGTATGTATATCTATATATGTATATGTATGCATTTATAAATGTATGAATGTAAGTATATGCATACAAATTCAAACAATAATAAATAAAAAATTTAATTATAAACCTAACCTCTTACAATTAATACCCTTACTTAAGATACCATCAAATCAGATAAGAAAATATAATAATGACCAAATGAAGACAATATAAATATTTACCTTATTTAAGCATTAAAAAAAATAATGTAAAAAATGAAACACAGTTTTCCTAACTCAAGAAAACACTAGAAGGCTCAAGAATTAACAAAGACAGTATATGTCTGGAAAACTGGAAGTCAAAATAGCTACAACTGAAAGAAAAGAAAGAAAAAGTAAAAAAAAGAAAACAATAAAGAGTGAGTATAAAGTGAAAAAAGTACTTGGGGAATTAAATATGAATATAATCTCTGGTAAATTTACTGATAATAGAAAACAACAAATTTGGAAATTGGATAAACAAATTTTTAATATTATACAACCAAACATGTTTGAAAGAATTCTTGCTGCCGAAATACACTTTATTTAAAATATATACAGTGTGCAGTAGGAATACCATCCATATAATGGTAGCACATTAGTAGTAATGATGTCTTACCATTATGTGGGAGGTATTTCTGCCACACCCTGTGTGTGTGTGTGTGTTGTGTGTGTATATATATATATATATATAGTGATACGCGTAAGTATTGGATACATGTTATTTTCTGTTATAACTCTAGTTTATGTTCGCCATTTTGCCTGATATTTGGTAAGTAATATCTCGTAAAGTTGTTTTGGATGGCAAAAATCAGCATTTTCAAACTGGTCCCTCATGTTATCTGGACAGTGGCTCAGATTGAGAGATCAGAGAGGTGAGTTTGAATTCCACTCAAGTTCATTATATTCACTAGTGACTAGTCTAAAAGAAGGAAAGTACTGAATTCAAATCAGTATGCAGAGGGTTGGGCTCTGTCAGGCTGTCTAACACCACTGCTACTGTGTCTGCAGTACAGGTGGTGCCTCTATGACCCAGGAGAGTTATGGGTCTTGCGATCATGATTATTGTCTGTGCTATTGTGTGTGTGTGTGTATATATATATATATATATAATTATTTTTTATAAAAAAAAAAAATTATAACATAAGTATGTCATTTTGTTTCAACACACTCTGTGTCTTATCAAGTGATGATGTTGAAAAGAAAATAAATGGTTTTAAAAGTTTCAGATTAATTAACGATCCTACACTAGGGGGAAACATTGTTACAAAAGCTAGAATAACCAATCAAAAACCAAGTATAGAAAGATTCAAAAGCTTGACAACGAAATCATGTTATAATAGCTATTCAGATCTTTAAAATACGTGTAATATTAAAAATAATTTATACTAACCAATAATTATAAAATTATATGATAAAATTTAATATTAAAATTAAAAACTGGCAATTTTAAAATCCAAATTTAATCACTATTAAGTTTAAAAACTACAACATTATTGAGAAAAGAAAAATATATATGTTTATTCAATTCATTTCTTCATTGAAATTACGTTCGACAAGACGCTTACAATATATCCGGTCATTTGACAATACATGTATATATATTTTTTTCTTTTCCCTTTCTTTTCCTTTTTTTTTTTTAAAGTGTGTGAATGTGGTCTTAAACTCACGTGCAAAACAACAAAACACAATCAGATTATAATACATAAGCACCCAGACATAATTAGATATATACACACACACACACAAAAAAAAAACGACGAGACATGAACATCTCTACAGCCCTTTATGAAAAAAGGAAACGTGGAAACCAACACTTATACACACACACAGTTAAATGTGAATACACTCTACATACACATCGATAGATACACATACACACATCCACAGACAATGACATAGACAATCAGATACCACAACCAATAAATATTTCAAACTTAAAGTATCATTAAATAAATGCTAACCACCTATTAAATTATAACTTAAGGGAGCAAATATACAAAGATAAGAATGGTTAAAAATAATATTATTTAATATATTAAAACGAAAATTCCAAAACCATAAATATCAAAATATATATATATATATATATATATATATATATATATCTGTCTAGTGAGAGGAAGTGCTTCAATCCACGCACTGCCTGACAGGATACCCATTTTTTGGGTGATCTTTTTTGTCTCTACGCAGAAGAGTATGATTTTTGTGCAGCTGAGGCATAGATAGAATAAGCTGACTTGTTCTTTTTCGAGTCTTCACAAGTCCTCATTTACACTTTCCTCAGGTGGACATAATGTAAATCTATTGCTATTGATTTTACTATAGAAATGAACTGCAATTAATTTTACTATGGAAATAGATTGTAAATGAAGATTGTCCATAGTTACATGTAAATTCTATCAAAAGAATATGACTATTACGTATGATTGACAGCTTGTTTTCCAAATATATCTAAGACAGCTAAGATAGCTGGTGGAGACAACTGCTCAGTCACATTGTCTTTGTTCAACATTCACAGAACCCACCTGTGGTTTATACTGTAACTGTGCTAAGCATACCTTAGTTCCTGGAAGAGAAAACAGTGATCACCAGCTTGAAAAAGGCTAGTACACTCAAACTCTCAGTCACGATGACTTGTGACTTTGTGCTTCTGAATGGTTTGTCTACCCTATTTCACTCACTCACATCAAACAATGGTATGGTTTTCAAAAGTTCCATACACTGACATTTTTTCACCAGGCCAATACTATCTTAAAATGACTTCCTTGACAAATCAATTATGATGAGATTTGAACCCAGATCCTACAGTTCAAACACTAACATTCTAACCACTTGGTCACATTCATAGAAGGATTATCATAATAATAATGTAAAAACACTATAAATAATTTTACAATGTAAATATTACATTTTCCTAGATATTATTAAAAACATATAAAAAAAAATACTAGATATTATTAAAAACATATCAGATATGCACCTTACTAAAAGGTGTCATGGTAATAAATTCTCTGCATCTGATGATCAGTTTATTATTAAGAAACTTTTACTAACACACAAAGTACTTAAAATCCATAAAAATGTAATATTTATACAGGCTCTGTATAAAGATATTTAGTACTGAATAAAAAATAAGACTGCATTTGGCTGAACTGTATTTCAGTTGGGCATATGGCCAAGTGGTTAGAATGCTCACTTTCAGACTATGAGACTCCGGTTGAAATCTCACCATGGTTGATTTGTCAGCAAGGTGACTTCTTGATATTATCAGCCTGTGGAGATGATCGCAGCATAAGGCACCTTTGGAAAGTTCTTGAAAACCATGCAACAGTTTGACCCAAACCTTGTGAGTGAAATTGGGTTGATGATTATGCTAGCATGAAGTCACAAGTCAACGTGACCAACAGTTTGAGCATACTGGCCTTGTTCAAACTTGATTGTGCCAGATAATGCACTCTTTTCCAGAAACTGTAACTAGGGTCTGCCCCAGTATAGTTCCAGTATAAACTACAGGTGGGCTCTGTGGGTGTTGAACAAACATGAATTTGTTTGAGCGGGCATCAATAACAAGGATTTGTTAGCCACCCCAGTAGACAGGCATACTCAGATATGAGTGGCCAGCCGTTATATTTCAGTTGGAACTCAGGGTTTTTCAAATTCTGGGTCCCAACCCTTCAGTGGGGGTCATGAAATAAATAAAATAGATCATGACAAAAAAGAAAAAAAAACAAAAAAACAAACAAAAATATGCAAGTGAGAGCAAAGTGCAGAATATATATATATATATGTTTATTAAAGACATTTTTATGTTTAACGTTGTTATTTATAGATACAAGTATTTAAGCAAATGCTCTGTTTATGATAAACAGTATTAAATAACATTTACCGGCCTGAATGTCCGAGAAATTTTCATAGAAAATATTAGTTCTTTGACAAGATTTACCATCCTATCTGGAACAAAGTCATATATGCTGGACCCTGACCGCTCGATACAAAAAGAACCGTTCGGTAAATTCACAATTTACTGAACGAAAATTTTCTACCGGTCCACAGTTCTTTGTGGCAGAGCATTCAAATACTTGTATCTATAAAACGCAACGTTAAAACATATGCAAATGTTTTAATAAATAAATTGTCGGACCTTGTCCATTTCTTAATATATATATATATATATATATATATATATATATATATATAGTCATCCACAGATAGACTGTTTCACTGTAGTTATATATATATATATATATATATATAATAAACAATATATAAGTACCACATATATAATACATAAATAATATATATAAAATTTTACACACACACACATTATATATATATATATATAATAAACAATATATAAGTACCACACATATATAATACATAAATAATATATATAGAAATTTTACACACACACACATTATATATATATATATATATATATATATATATATATATATATAGATAGAGAGAGAGAGAGAGAGAGAGTCTGTTTTCACTGAGTTTATGTATCTTATTAATCAAACTCATTGCAGACTGAATGACATCAGTTCTCACTCACAATGAACTCGCATGACTTAGTTTCGAAGATGTGCAGTGTGTTCGTCTTCATGGTCAGTGAAAAGCTAAAAAGGCTATTTTATTACAACTGCCTTTTACAACAACGTACTTGAGTGAACTGGGATTTCCTTTAAATTTGTTTTTCTAAAAGTAATAATTTTATATTCGTGCATCGAGATAACACAAATAGATACATGCAATTTCAATATGTGCGAATCATAAGAAATATACATATAAATTGGGAATGCTAAATAAATGAACCTAATAAACAGGTTTTGTTTTTTTTATTTATTACATATAGGTATAATGGATCGCAATGCGAAATATAGTTCTTGCTATGGGCCGTAGTAAAAAAAAGTTTGTAAAACACTGTTTTATAATGTATGTAAATAATTTTACTGTAGAAATGCATTGAAAATATGAAGACTGTCAATGGCCATAAATTAGTGTGTTACTGCTAGAATATTTGTATTCTATTTTGGTTTTAATTTTAAGGAACTGCAACGTTTACTCTCTATAAACCCAGATCATCTTTTAATAGCCATTCTGTTAGAATTTGCTAAGAAACGTTCTAGAAATATAGTCCCCCCCCACACACACACACACAAGAATTAGATAAAGATTTGCCTTTTGTCTGTTTAAATAAAGAGAACAAGAAATCTATAAGAAAACATGCAAGAATGAATAGAAAACACAGCTAAGCCCATGAGAGAAACATTATCTGAATTGCAAATAAACAAAGGAAAATATAAACCTATCTTTTTTCTTTTTTTTGACACATTGTTTGTTTTGCTTTCATTAGTCAGAAGGTGATGATGGTTTCCTAAGAGTTTCGTCCTTGATTAGTAACATAGGATAAAAAGTACAAATGGTTTTTGCACAGTCTCTTGCATCTGCTGTGCATAAGGCATAAGTAAACAGAAGCCAGAATGAGTTTTCTTTTTTAGTAAAAGAGAAAACAAATCCGGTTGAGTTGAAGAGATGAAAGCATGATAGGCAAAAGAACAGACATATTAATCATAAGAAAAAGTTACATTTTTTATGCACAGTGAACCAAAAACTCAAACTTCATTCATTCAATGCAAATGCTGAGCAAAAGTTCAAAAAAATAATATGCTTGAATTTTTTGCATACCTTAGCTTTAACTAAAACCTCTCAGCTATGTAAGGCTTTATAAAAATCAACTGAAATTTGATGAAATTTAAACCTAATTCCATCAGAAGGACTAAATAGAGCTTTTGATCCTGGTTAAGAATCATGGATTTGTTTTAAGTATTTATTGAATTATACCTTATTTATGGGCGCATAACCAAGAGATTGGAACAATAGCATTCCAACCATGAGATTTGGGTTTGAATTACACTATAGTTGATTTGACAAGGTGATGACTTCTTAATGATATTGGCTTGAGGAGACACTGTTGGGGAGTGCCTGAAAACCATATCATGGGTTGACCCGAGCCTTGTGAGTGAAATTGGGTAGACAAAATTGTTTTGGGCGCCATTGATGTTTATGCTAGCATAAAGTTGCAAGTCATGGTTACTAAGGATTTGTTCAACTATTGACCACACTAGATTATGCACTCTCTTCCAGAAACAGTGACTACAGTCTGCTCAGCATATTTTGCAGTATAAAACCAGGTTGGCTCTGGGTGCATTAGCAGGTGTTCTGCAACAAGGATCAGCTAGCCACCCTAATAGATTCCATCATCTCCAGAGACTGATGATTGGCTACCTTATTTGAAAATCAACAATTTCTAGACACAAGCAATGGAACGAGAACAATCTATCCCCATAGATTAAATAAAGGGTTCGGTTCAAAAGTAGGTTACCCAGATCGGCATACACCAATAACATCAAAGACTAGAGTCTGCATGTAAATGATATATGTGAATAAAGAAATATATATATTGTCATCATTTATTATTAAACCCTAAGAAAACTAGTCTTTTAAATTTGGAGACCACAAATATTCAAATATAAATTTACAAGATTTCAAACAAATGCCCAGTATAATAAAAAAAAAACAGAAATGAAACACTTCTGTTTTTTTTTTTTTGTTTTTTTTTGTCTTGTCTTTAATCATTTCACCCCAAGCAAGGTAATAAATGTCACTAGGAAGCAAAGGTTTACTGAGAGTGAAAGAAACATAGGACAATAAAAGAACAAGTTTCAAACAGGTAGGAGATGAAGATTGACATTGAATATACCAAGAAAATGTATTCCTACTTAAACTGCTACTTTTGATAGAAAATAAATAAAATGTCCCTTTCTTTTTTGATTGGAACTTCTATTTTATAAAAGGGTTTATTTGAATTGACATTTCTGAAATAATGATTAGTTATTCACTTACCTGTATACAGTACTTAGCATCAACAACAGTTATTATGCCTAAAAAAAACAAAAAAAATATATATATATTATTGAATAAATAGTATTTATTAGACCAGAAATAGGACAAGAACAGTGCAGCTTCCTTAAACAAGAAATGCATTATTTATGCTCAGAATGTAATCAGAGCAATACAAATGCAAAAGGATGTATTTTTATGTTTTATAGATTATGCATCTGAAAAAGTGTAGGTACCTCCACAGAAAACACAATACCTAAAATTTAAAATGAATTTTTAAAAATGAAAAATCTTTCTTGAATAGATTAAATTTATTATTTCCAATAAGCAAAATACTTTGCTGCATTTTAAAACTAATTTAAATTGACTACAAATAGGTTTTTTATTTTGTTTTTTTTTTTTTTTGCTAAAATAGTGATAAGTGCTATTTTGAGCTGTCTTTCATCGTAATGTAATTCTCTTTATTAAAAAGAGTCTGCCAAAAATAAAACATGCTTTTCTAAAACTTTATTTGAGGAATATTAGCTGATTTAAAGTATAATTAATCTGATGTGAAACAAATATTATTTACTTTAAGTTTAAAATATCGCATTTTTTAACATGGCTTTAACTGTTTATTTAAGATGTTGACAGCTTGATCACAGACAGACATTATCAAATATTTTTCTACAGGGGTCTTTCTCTGTAAAAGATAGTTGAGAATATAACATGACCACCATTTTAATAAAAATTTTAAGTACACAGTGATCTTAAAAATTTAGGAAAATATTCTCCATAATCTAATGTTTTATTGAATTGGAGAGACATTGGCTTTAAATTTACTATAGTTATCGCTGTTACTTTCTGATAATTTCATGTATGAACTTTTTTATTTACAAAAATGGCACATTAATCCATATACAAAAAAAATTTTAAATTCTTTTAAAAATATTGGTGTTTGATAAATTGTACTAAGCTTTCCCATTTATTATTAATAAATATAGTTTTCACCTAATAATAATATCAGCTAAAAGGGTGAAATTAATAGAAAATTTTAAAAGATAAAATGAAAACAATTCTTGTAAAAATCCATAATTCACTCAAAGGAATTTTTTTCTTAAGACAATAGTGTCCATAATATATCTTATAAAAGCAATTAAAAGCTTTTCTAATTAAATAATGTTTTAGGTTTATTGCATTCTCTTTTATTGTACAATTTAGAGCAGATTTTCAGTAAATGCTGTTTCTGTTATACAAAAACAAAATTGATTTTTCAATTCTCCAAGAAGTCCTTCTATTAACCGATATAAATATTAAGGTAGTGAAAATTTAATTTCTCAAAATGTCATAAAATTAAGTGGGGGGTAACAGATGTAAAAGCAAAAATATTTTTACCAAGATTTTCTAAAAAGAAAAATTTCTAAAATAATTTCATTGATTTGTGAATAAGTCTTGAAAATTTCATTAAAATCCTACAATTGATTTTTGTAAAAATTTCCAAATAAATATATTTTTACTGCAAAAAAAAAAAAGATACTAAAATTTTCAATACTAATCTTTGGCCCACCTGTTGACGCAAGAAAAACAAGATTTTAAAACCAAAATTTCAAACATGCGAGAAAGGATTAACAAATTTAATTAAATGATCAAAAAATACTATACTCTTAATAATAACAAAAATTTTGATATTAAAACTTTTATTTTTATCAAGACTGAGGCATTTTTTCATTATAGCATGCTCTTTTTTCATCCAATTAGTGGAGATACAAAGATAAAGTACAACACAACAGAATTTATATTGGAAGCAAACTGCTTACATATGGATCGAAAATGAATCCAGTAAATACACAAAAATAGAAAAGGGAATACAATGCAAACTACAAACTGAAGATGCCCAAAATCAATCAAGTACATAAAATTTAAATATCTAGGAAGTGTTTTAACAGAGAACAGATAATGTGCATCTGGAGGCAAGATAAAATAGTGAAAGATGCCTTCCAAAAGGCTTCACACCATTCAGTCACAAAGAGCATCAAAACCCAGCAATGTTCTTTTTACCGTTTTAAGTAAAAAAAAAAAAAAAAAAACTGCTGGATCAAATGTTGGTTTCTTCTACATAAGGGAACACAGGTTTGAATGCTTCTGGATAGCAAATTTTCTTTAAGATATCTTCAGTGCACAAGCTGATAGATGTAATGCACACTGTTTAAAATAAAAATGGGAAGTCTATTTGAAACCGGATATCTACCAAACAATCTTTGAAGTAATAAAAATGTCAGATTAAAAATAAAATCCATTAATTCTTTTGAAATTGTTTTGTTTATATTTTGGATACAACATTTAGTAGATATAGGCACTCAAAAATAACCGAACGAGGAAGTGTGCATTTCTTAAAAGAGTAAAAAAAACCAGTGTTAGTCGAGCAGTCTAAAACACGCCAGATCAAATGGTGGTTTCTACTACATAGGGAACGTAAATTTAAATCCTGCTAGAGAGCACATTTTCTTTAAGATTTCTTGAGTGCACAAGCTGATAGATGTAATAGATATTGTTTAAAATAAAAAGAACAGGGCGTCTATTTCAAACACGGGTATCCACTAAAAATAATGTTTGAAGTAATAAAAATATATCTTCATCACATATAAGCATTAATAAAAAGAAAAATGTTAATGAAAATGTTTATAAACTTACGTATCTACAACAAAGGAGTTACTAGAGAAAGTTGTTATAATAATTTTATCAAGGGTTATGAGGATTCATAAAAATATGTAAATAAAAGTAAATACTCACCATCTAAATAAATATCACTACATAATTCTTCATCAAGCCAGAACATGGAAGCTATTGGTCCTGTAACAGAATAACAACAGTATAAATTAAAAGCCAGAGATATCAAGTGATTGGCCCGTTTACAGTACATTTTTAATGAAGTTTTTCATTATTTACATTATTCAAACTGTTATCCTCATATTCATTGCTATATTCACAATGTTTCAGCCACTGTATGTTCCGGCCTTCTTCAGGTGATTAGAATTCCAAATCACACCCTTTACTTCATCCAACAAGGTAGATTGTTCTAGTTCCATATGCCATACCTCTTCCAGATGTCTCAGTTGTTTCCCTTTAACTTAACTCTCCAAATATTTTGGTTCACCACTGCTATAGCCTGGTATTGAACTCACAACTATTTGGGTCTAGTCACTGGATCCAACCAATGCCTTTATCCATTGGGCCATTGGGGACATGGAACTAGAACAATCTACCCTGGTGGATGAAAAAAAGGTTTGGTTCATGTGGAACTAAAACAATCTACCCTGATGGAGGAAAAAAAAGGTTTGGTTCATGTGGAACTAGAACAATCTACCTTGGTGAACAAAATAAAGTGTTCAGTTTGAAATTCCAATTACCTGAAGAAGGCTGGAGCACAGAACATCTTGTTTATTATAAAACGCAGATTGTGTGTGTGTGTATGTTTATATATTGGATCAGATTTCCTACATTTTTCAACCGATTTCAACAAAAATTCACAGGACTATGTAAAATTACCTTGTGGTGGTTCTGACAGTGCCAAAAATTAGAAAAACAATTGTTTTTGCACAAAATCAATTTGAAAACACAATTAAGAGGCATTAATGAAAGGGGGACAACTCATATCGAGTTATACTTATTATAAAACCCAGGTTGTTTGTGTGTGTGTGTGTGTGTGTGTTCATTTATATATGGGATCGGATTTCCTACATTTTTCAACCGATTTCAACAAAACTTCACTTTTTTTTTGGCAAGTATTGTTTCTTATTGTCTTGCACACTTTTTTCTTTATTTTTACATTCAGAATGCTTTAAAAATTCCATTTACAAGACAATTGTTTAGAATAAAATTCTATTCAATCAGTAGACTCATAACGATTGAAAACAATGTTTTTGTTTGAGTTTGGGTTTGACCAATTTGTAAAAAAAAAAAAAAAAAAAAAATTAAGACATGCGTGTCTGTCAACCTTAAACAATAATCTTTGTCAATTTTATTTTTCAGTCTTTATGATGGTCAATACTTGATCTATCTCTTACTGTTACATCCCCGGGCAACGCTGGGCTCTACTGCTAGTCTGAAATATTGTGAATGCAGCAATGAAGATGAGGATAACAGCTCAAATAATGTAAAAAATTATAATACTCAGTCACCAAATCATTTGCTTTGGCATTCTATATCCTTAGACTACATTTCAACAAAATTGAACTATTCCAGATTTGATTTGATAAATTTTCTGAGGAATTTTTCAAGTCTTGAAATTGTTAGAACATAAAGCAAGATGGGTGATAGTCAGAAAATGACATTTATGAGAAAAAACAAAAATAATATAAATGCAGAAGAACATCTCATCCCAGCTCTATGACCCTCTACAGCAAAGCATTTGCAATATGAAGACAGGCACTGACATACAACAGTATCATTTTCTAATTTCTGCTCCCACCAAAAGATTTTTCTCTTCCAATGAAGCATTCAAACAAGCCAGTATCTCAATGTAGTTCGTTCAGGTTTCAAGCAATTTGTAATAAAGAACTCCTTTGAACCCCACCAGACATTGAGAGTTTCTTTCCTCATAAAGTTTCTAACTGAAGCTAAAATAGACATGATTTTCTGTATTTAGAATCCTCATTTTTTTTTCTATGTCCCTGCAGGATATTAGTGATCATGGCTCACCGCAGATTCCATTCCTTTATTATCTGTAGATTGCAATGCCTTCTTGAGAAAAACAGTGGAGTAGTTTTCCGTTGCCTTTGCAATTTGAAATTCAGTTTTCTTTGTCTTAGATTTGTTGTCACTGATGGCTATAGATCCCAGCCTACCCTGCTATTTAACCCATAGCTGGAGGGGAAAGAGATTGATTCATGTCTTTTCCAAAGGTATTCGTGCAAAAGTGAATGAAACAAGTTAGGCCAGAATTTGAACTTGGCTCGCAGATTTCAGTTTCCATGCTAATAACCATAATCCCACCCAAATATGCATCATAAAATCCTCATTTTCACTGCTAGTAACTTACCTGACCAAGAAATATATCTCTTTTTGTTCAGTGTTGAGCAAAAAGAGAAAGACAAGTGTTCAAACAATGACTTTAATTCCTTTCATCAAGTCCACATTAAGAATCCATTTTTCTTGCATCTGAATTCTTCTTAAATACAGTTAATTGACTACACATACAATTAAAAAAAAGACACTTCTAAGATTTCTCTAACATTGAGCAAGAGATGTTATTGGTAACTTTTGGATTAGCACTATATTTTTTTGATTCAGTATCAATGTAGTTTTGTGTTAATTTTTAAAACTGGAGACAATAGTCTATTTTTTTTGTTTTTTGACTATGTTGTTCACCCTGTAAAAAGCCCAAGAGCCACTCGAGATAGGGGGTTAAAGATTAAATGGTAACACCCCAAGCAAAGGTGATAATGCTACTAAGATGCAAGCAGCCACCTGAAGTGGAAAGAAGGAAAAGATTTTAGAAGTAACTGGAAAACCAATCAGAAACAGGAAAAAAAGGGATAAATCTCTACTCCTGTTCAAAAGATTGGAGAGGAGCATGAACCGGGTGATAGACTAACCTATCTACTCCTATTGAAGAAAATAAAATTTAAATAAATAGTAAATAAAGTTCAGAGTTTCAGGCAGAGATGTTAGAAGTATAAAGTTGAAATAGACTTTTTAAAACAATTCAAATTAAAACCATATGGCTATTCTTTTGTTTGAATGTATATAACATGGCTGATGACTGTGAAAACTGAAAGACAAAAGTCTGAATGTTTGATCTTAAAAAGCGAGCTACAGTAAAAAATAAAATAAAAATGCCTTCATCGACTATAATAATCGACAGGGCTGGTGCTTACTATCCTGAACCTCTCAACCACGTGGGGGTCTCATGCCTACTGGGGAGGAGGGGTGCAACAGTGCTAATTTCAGTGGCACTTATTTGTTTGATTTTCTTTTTGGGCAGTTCTTTTAAATCAATTAAGAGGGTAATATATCTCAGTAAAATCATTTTTTATTCTGAAATCATCCACTAAGGAAGATCTCTGATTATTTTTTTTTCTAATAGTCATACTAACCAGAAGTCCATGTCTAGAAATTAAAATAAAATTTCTAGCCCCCTATTTGTTTACATTTCTAGAAAGATATCCACTAAGAAGGATCTGATTTATTTATTTTTTTGCTAATAGTCATACTAACCAGAAGTCCGTGTCTAGTAATTAAAATAAAATTTCTAGTCCCTATTTGTTTACATTTTCTAGAAAGATAAACCCAAGAAAACGATTTCTTAAAAATTAAAAATGTTTAAGGATTTCAACACATGAAAAATTTTCCCGAAAACTGAAATACTGTTTTTAAAACAAATTTTTAAGACGACTCCATTTGTTAATGTTGAAATCTTTGTAAAAATTTTTTTTTTTGCAGAGATGCATCAGCAATTAATCTTTATGGAAATATAAAAACATGCAACTTAAATATTTTTTTCCAAGTAAAATTTAGTCATGAAATTACTGGTGCTGGTTACAAAATGAATAACATTTTCTCAAAATTTTTTAAATAAAAAAACCTATTCATTATAGAATTAAATAATTAATGAATATGTACTGAAATTTTCATTTAAATTGGATAATTCCCAGATATTTGGTAATTTAAAAAAAGCACCGCTCTCCCTCACAATTTTCCTTCCAAGACCCTAGAGCCGAACCAGAATACCATTCATAGCACCAAACCTGTTCAGAAATATCTAAACTATCAGCTGTATACAACCACTTTCTAAGATCAATGATTAAAAATGGCTTTGAATGAGTGAAATAGTTCATATTTCTTTGAATCTTGTGGACTGGCATTACAGAAACACAAAAAGTAATGTACCTAATAAAAGAAACCACAACATTTGAGGACTTTCAATAGCAACAACAAATAAAATGGATATCATATGTAAGTTGAAGAGAAAATAATGACATAATCAAGATGTTGACTTTTCACACTAATTCAAATAAAAAGTTAGGAAGAAAACTCTCTGATTACTGGAAAGAGTGATAACAGCTACTGGACTTGAGTAACCTATTTTCATGAAAAAAAACTTTAACAGAAAGATTCTATTAATTTCAACAGTATAAAACAGCCTGTCGAATGTTTCATCATAGGAAAACGGCTAATATTGCCATAATGATTCAAATTTACGCCAAATGATAGAAAATAAAAGCATTAATGTTATTCTTTTATGAGCAATTGTTTCATATCAGAATGCGTGCGGCTCAAGGGGAGATAATTACAATTTCTTTAAAAATGAGTTGTTTCCCTTAGGAAAATATGTTAAAGCATTATTTATAATGTACTCCCCAATTTTTCCAAACTCATCTTAAATATGGCTACCGTAAAATCGGTTATTAATTATAAAAATAATAATAATTATAGGATTCTATTTATAATAATTAATGCCACCAATCCCATTTCCCAAACTGACATTAGAAGGAATTGAACATGCATTCCCATTATCTCAGGAAAACTACTTTGTCAGCCACAAGAGAACTCGCATTGAAGCAAGGCTCAGTTACCCTTTTTTAAGAAATACACATCTCTCTTGGTGCCTTTTAGAGACTGTAGTTGATTTTTGTACCAAACAAAACAAAAGTAATTTTTAAGCAATTTTTTTTATAGCCTGTCACTTCAAAACATAAGTGATTATGACTATATATTTTTCTTCATTGTATGTTTTTGCAATCCATTCTTGAAAAAGATAGTGGAATGGTTTTCCTTTGCTCTTTCTGCAACTTGGAATTTAGAGTTTTTCTCTACTTAGACTGGTTGCCAGGTTTAAAGAGCCGAGTTTATCCTGATATTTAATCCATAGCTTGTGACTGGGACCATAACCTCTAACCTACATTTTTTTTTCACTTTTCTACTTTAGCTTTGACCTGTCTTTTCATCGATCAAAGAAAACATACCCATAAAAACTTTGAAATCTTGTTCCTCCCTCCCTAAATAAAATACCATTGCGTTTTCAAAAGTAAATCATTTTCATCAAAAGTTACTCAATATCGCTTGATAATGGAACAGATTTAAGTTCTGAAACATAGAAATTTACCGATCATGATGTAAAATATTTTTTAAATAAAAATATTATAATATACATATATATATATATATATATATATATATATATGAAAATTTACTATATTTACCTCGATTTAGCTCTGTTGAGTGAGGTACAAAACTGGTTAGCTAGCCTGTTTTTCATTTTTACTTTTTATTTTCATGAGTGGTAGTAATAATAAAACTAAGTTTTGTCTATTTATAGCAGTGATAAAATTTTGTACCACTAAACATATATATATATATATATATATATATATATCTCCAGGTAATATCATATTAATTTGTCAAAGTAGTTCTGTATTTTTTATCTGTTTTTTTTTCTTTTTTTTTTCCCCCCAAACAGTTCAGTTATTTACCAGTTTCTTTAAAGGGGCCTTTTATTTATCAACTATAAAATTTTGTGTAAGAAGCTGAACGAGTATATGCCTAATTAGCATTGTGTTAAATTACCTCCCCACCCCTTTTAGCTTTTACTTATTTGGAAAGTTGAATGTCAGACTTCAATACACCTTATGAAATAATGTAACACTTTGTATCTGTCCATAAGGAAATTGTCTTCATGTCATGACCTATATTAAAAAAATTTTTCCAGTCAGTCTCAATTTAGCATAAGTCACATTCGAATGGTTAATCATGGCAAAGCATACAGGCTTTTTTTTTTTTTTATTAAGTATTCTGCTCTTGAAATTAATCTCTTGCTGGCCAGTGGTTTGACATCAGCGGAGGAGACACATTTGTGGTGCTGAAACATGATTGTGTAGCAATTTTTAACATGTTTTTATTTTAATATCCTAAAATAAATTTTATATATATATATATATATATATATAGATATATATATATAGATATGTAGTGGAGTAGTGGATAGTGGCTCGAATTGAGGAATCAGAGAGCTGAGTTCAAATACCAGTCGAATCCATAACATTCACTTACATTGAGAAAGGTATTAATCCTCTTCTTCATCCAGCTATGGGTAAATAGCAAGACAGACTGGGTTCTATAGCCTTGGATGGCAACTGGTCTAGGAGAAGGACAACTCTGAATTCAAAACCTGCAGAAGTTTGTTCAGGGACCTTGTGGCACATAGTGCACCAGGTCTCTGTATTCGGCTCTTCAAAAAGTGGATGGTTCTGCACAAAACCTTCACTACTATAATCAAATCATATGTGCTGGTGTCTGGCTGTTGGTTCCTAGTAACTGAGCTGCTTGACCCTCATACGTCAAATATGATGGGACAGTACACCATTTATATATATATATATATATATATATATATATATATATATATATATATATATATATATATATATATATATATATATATATACATATATATATATATATATATATATATATACATATATATACATATATATACATATACATATATATACATATATATACATATACATATATATATACATATACATACATATACATATACATATACATATATACATATACATATATATATATATATATATATATATATGGCCTGTGATAATCCAATAAACATTTAAAAACTACCGAAGATTTGAAAAGCTATACAGTGAAACCTGTAAAGTAAAATAATTCTGAAAACCTACATGTATCATAAATATTGCATATAAATAAAACATCAGGTCCATTTTCAAATTTTATTTTGTCTGTATAACAAGATTTGTACAAAACTTTCTAACACTTTCATTTTTTTCATATATATTTATATTACAAAAAAATGAAACTCAATTGTACCCCATTTTTATGGCCATTTTGCTCCTCAGGATAAATTCCCTGGAGATTGTCAATACTAAAACGTTTTTCATCAAACACTTTAGTATTGACAAGCTCCAGGGAATTTATCCCAAGGAGCAAAATGGCCATAAAAATGGGGTACAATTGAGTTTCATTTTTATGTAATTCATTTCTCTGCTTTATAATAAATATATTGAGCTCACTTTTGTGGATTTGTGGATCAGTTTTAATATTTTATATTAATAGGATTCACTTGTGTGCATGAAGCCTATGGGTCTTGGTGAATATCACCCTTCTTCAAACATTGGGGATGGCACTACAGAATCACAAAGAAAGATCTGTAGCAAATAACAGGAACCATATCATTTGAGGAATTCAACAGAAGCAACAGTTAAAATGGATATCATATGTAACTTGAGAAAATAATGATATAATCAAGATGTTGACATTCCACATGTCCATCACAAACAAAAGGTGAGGAAAATACTAGGAAAGAGTGATAACAGCTACTGGACTTGAGAAACCTATTTTCTTGAAAAAATTTTTTTTAACAGAAATATTTTATAAATTTTAACAGACAGTAGGACAAGCTACTTGGTCAATGAATGCCAAATTTTTCCTTATAAGGAAACGGCTAATAATACTATTACCATCTATTCAGGTTACTGACCTGAGGAAAAAAAAAAAAAAATGGAGGATGAGATGTAAATAGCACTTGTATTTAAAACTGATCAAAATTAAATACATTCAATGAAGATTTTTTATTTCCACATCTTACAATGAAAGATAATTTAATGAAACTAAAACAAATAGTTGTTATTCTAAAACAAGAGTAAAATATTCCCAAGAAACATAATCTAGCACAATCAACTCTCATAATCCAACAAAAAAAATTTTTGAAATGCTGTTCATAGCCCTCCACAGCTTCTTTTTTTTTCTTTAACATCTGCAAACTACCATGATTTTTTTTTTTTTTTTTGGAAGAGTTAGTGGAATTGCCTCCTCAACAGTTTTGAATACAGAGATATCCTCCTTCTAGGCTGATCTCTTTGCTAGGATGGAAGAGGCCAGTCTACCATATATTTATTAAGAGTTAAGTGGGGATAATAAAGACCCATGCTTTTCCTGAGGACATTATCGTGAAGTGAATGCAATAACCTCGGCCGGAATTTGAACTCAATTTCTTTTTTCATTACGATATCTTAACTATTGCATCATTCGGTTATTCTTCAAGGTAGGTAACTCTTCTAAATATTTATGACGAGTTACATACCTTAGACTTCGATTCAAATTGGAATAGAAATATAAATTAGAGTTGTTTTATACCGGAAAACTTCCATACTGGTTGATTCATTTCAGGATGCTTTTCGAAATCAACTTTTTAAATTGAGAGTAACTGGATAATTTTATGTCGTCAGACGTCACTTTTAATATAGTAAGACAACAAAACCTGAAAAATACTAACCCGCCAGAAGACATAAACAATCTTATATGTTATTCTGTAATAGTTTAGTGGAATAAAGTGTTACTTCCTGAATTTGGTGGCATAGTAATAGGGAGTTCAATCCTCAATTCGGATAGTTCAGACTTAGAGTTAGTAGTATAACTAATGCATTAGATAAATTGTTATGTCAGAGATTTTTCTTATGTTCATAAATATTTTTTTTCATCAATATATTGTAAGGAACTGACATGGTACAGCTATTGATATACACATAATAACAAAAAAATTCAACCATAATATAAATAATTAATTTCCACCACAACTTTGATCTAAAGAACGCTATACTTATTAAAAGAGAAGATAACTTATTTGCACGAGCGTTCCTGAGAGTGCAATTATCAATTCTTGCCAAAATGTTAACATACACTCTGGATTTTTTTTAAATATCTCCTTTCTCAAACATTTTCAAAATTAAAAGAAAATAGTTGACACAAGACCTTTAGATATTTTTAGAGAGTAAGAATTTTTTTTTTTTTGGCAGTGAGATGACTTAATAATTAACCCATAGCTTGGGGGAGAAGAGGTGGATTCATACTTTTTCCAGGGGTATTTGCACATAAGTGAATATAATGAACCCAACTGGTATTGGAACTCAGCTCTCCGATTAACAATTCTGAGCCATCATCCATTACACCACCCACAAATCAAAGCTTACAGCATCTGGTATTCACAAACAGTCACCCATCTAAGTACTGACCAGGCTTGATGTTGCTTAACTTCAGTGATCATACGGGAACCTGTGTTTCAATATGATGTGGCTGTAAGCCTCATTGTGATTTTTTTTTTTTAAATCAGTGTCACTCCAAGCAAGACAGTACAGCTACTAGCATGTGAGGGGTTATAGGGTGTGGAGGAATTAGGAACAGAAACATTAGCAATGAGGAGAAAAAGAAAAGAGCAATCAGGAGGACAATAGATAGCAATTGACATTGCATTTAAATTTTTGCAAATTAAAGTTGGCTGGAAAGCAGTTCCACAAGGAAGAAGTGTGAGAAAAACTGTCAGCATAGAAGTTACAGCTACATCTAGCTAGCTTAACTGTAAATTAATGAGATATTGCCATCAGTCTAGTACTGCACTTAAATTCATACAGTTCAGGTACCATAGTGAAGAGCTCATCCAAACAATTACCATAAAAGTATTTATAAAAAAGGCGCAGAGAGGCAACCTTATGACAGTGGGCAAGTTACTGAAGCTGAGCTGCTAGATCAGGACCAATAACAACAAAGACAATAGTCTGAATGTAAATAATGATAAATTCTCATCACAGAAATTATATGAAAAAACTCAAAATAATTTTGATATACCAAGAATTTTAATAAAATATGCATGCTTTAAAAGCAAATTACTCACCTGGATCAGCCAGGCCTGTTGTCTCTAGTAAAATATAATCAAATTTGCCTTTCTTCATCATGAGGTTTTCAATGGCTTTCACTCCACTGTCTCTAAAAAAAAAAAAAGATATTTGAAAAGAAATGTTCTTTTTTTTTTAAAAAAAACTAAAATTATGAATTCTTTAAACATCACATTAGTTAATTAAATTAAAAAAATTAGTTAATTAAAATAATCAAATCTACAGACAAATAATAACACAAAAACTAAATCTCTCATGCATAAAATTATTATTTATTCAACCATGGACTTTGTCAATATTGGTGGGTGAGTGTGTGGCTTTGGGGATTTTCTCCAAACATAGATTCTTCTTTTTGCAAGGATCTAAAAGACTCTCTGCCTTTTCCCTCTCAATGGAACACTTATATAACTTCCTGGTCTCCGGTTGTCCCATGTCTGCACATCCTAAGTGCAGCTGGGTCAACCACCTGTTTACAAATTAGGGGCAGCCACTGATATCCTGTATGAGGTACAAATCTAGAGGTCAGGAGGTGTATCTTTCAGGTTATATTACATCTGACTTCTCTGACACTCTGGTGTAACACTAAGGGCAAAGTCTCTTTCAGTATTCCCTGGGATGATATTTATATATACTGGGGTCACCACAGATCAACTGTTCTTAGAACAAAAATTCCCTACTTTGATTATTAGCATTATTAATTCAAAGATACATCCTTTATCTGAAGATGATGCGAATAACAACTGAAATATTAACAAAATCAACCTTACTTAAATGTTGACTAAAGAAAATAATGTAAATCATTCTTAATGCCATCATATTCTCATTTAAATTTGGTTTATGTCACAGATTCTATAAATAAAGATTGAAAACTACTGAAAGAATTTTATTCAAGTTCAAATGTAATTTATTCTACAGACTCCCCTTCTATTTAAGAGCTCTTAGAATTTGTAGCCCTCAATATTTACATGAAGAGAAATATATTGAAAATAACTTTAAAATCCTCCAATATACTAATAAAGTATCTGCAATGTCATTGGTCCTAACCTGGCATCTCAACATCAGTCACTTTCCAACTGCCATAATGTAGCTCCACTGTGCCTTTTTTAGAAATACAGTGACACCTCGGTTCACAAATTCATTTCTAAAGGCTGTTCGTAACCCGAAATATTTGTAAACCAAAACTATTTTTTCAATTGTAATCAATGTGGAGAAAAAAGTCACAGTACAATAAAATTGGAAAAAAAAGCACAACACAACACACAAATGTATACAACATGGCAGTTGACTCAGAAATTATTCCGTTCAGGTTAACTCGGTTCAGCAATGTTGTTCAAGAACCAAAATTTTGTTCAATAACCAAAGTATTTTCATCTCAAATTTTCTGTTCAAAAACTGAGCAACACGTGAGAACTGAGGTTGCACTGTACTTTCATGATAATTGTTCTGATGAACTCTCCTCTATGCTACCTAGACTCTATGAATTTAAGCACATTACTAGATTAGTGGCAAGATCTCATTTTATAATCAAAATGGTTACATGTAACATAGCTTCATTATAGCTTTTCTATAAATACTTTCATGATAAATGTTCTGATGAAATTTCCTCTTTTGTACCTAGACATTATGAATTTAAGTGCAGTACTAGATTGGCGGCAAGGTCTCATCATTTTACAATTGAAATGACTAGATGTAATCGTAAGTTCTATACTAACAATTTTTTTTCTTGCACTTCTAACTTTCTTGCTTTCCAATCAAAAATTTAAATGCAATTTTTTTTTTTTTTTTACCATTTCACTCCAAGCAAGGCGGGAAGCCACTAGGACGCAAGGGGTTACAGAAAATTTGGAGCAAGATCAGATAGGAGTGATAGAAGAAAGGATGAGGAGAAGGATAGTGGAAAGATCAAGGCAACTGGAGATGTCGATTTCTTGCTTGGTGAAACACTTAAAAATATATATATATATATATATATATATATATATATATATATATATATATATACACATACATACAGGGTTATTGAAAAAGAAAGAGCAAACTTAGAAAATTTAATAAAGACAAATGCTAAGAAAAAGAAACACATCTAACACATTACTGGATAGGAAAACATTCAAAGTTTATCATTTTAAGGTGACACTTTGCAAATTGCAGTACACAAAATGACTTTTCCTGTGGTTTGACCATTTTAAGGGTTGACACAAATTATAATAATTTAAATTTATACAAAATCTGAAAAAAAAAAGAAACACAACAAAAAGAAGCATTTAAATAAGATTGAAAAAAACTTGCATTTATTTTAATAACGTTGAACCATTCCTATTTAAAAATGTTTCTGTGTCTTAGCATTTGTTTTTATTAAATTTTCAAAATCTTTCTTTTTCAATAACCCTGTATATTGCACATTGCATTTTATATATATGGACAATAGCCTGGTTACATGGGCATTAATTGCTCACAACTGACAACTCTTTTCTTCCTGATTATCAATGTATTGCGATATTAAAATCAATAGTAATGCATTTACATTAAATAAAACTGCATAGAGCAAGTTTTGCATTTACAAAATATGGTTTTTCCAGAATCTAAACATCATTGGCATTTTTGCCAACAAGGTACAAGAGGAGGCATGTTACACTTATAAAAATCTGCACCAGCAGAGGAGGCAAACCACTTTTTCACAGCAAGGATTTCACTAGTTGTAATCGACCAACTTGTGAAGATGAGCTTATCATTAACAGGACTACCCAGAACATGGACTATCCCAAATATCAAACTCACTGCAGTTGAAATGCATTACCTACTGCCTAACTCTGCTCACATCATTTAGTTCAACAACAGGTGAAATTTTTCCTGCATGAAAGACTTTAATGAAATACCTCTGCTTCATATGCACTTTCATGTCAGATGCCATTTTGCCAGACTACTGCTCAAGTGCTTTCAGTAAAAAAAAAAGTTGAAAAAAAATAACCAGTTATTGGCCAGAAGGTTCAGCTTTGACAGCCTTACCAACAATAGCCACCCTTAACAATATAGGTAGGCCAACATGGATTACTTTTAGAGTGATCTTCATAGTTTAATAGAGGATTTCTTTCATCTTACATTTGTTATTTTTTATTACAATACCCCAGTCATTTTTACATTCTATGACTGTTAAGTTGTTGCCGCATATGATCTGGTGCTCCCACTATGTATCTAGAGATCCTTGATAAAATCCAAAGAAAAATCAGCAATATTAATGGTCCTGATCTGGCATCTCAGCCTCAGTCACTATCCCCACTGCTGTAAAATTGCCTCCCTGTGACTTTTCTATAAATACTTTTATAGCAACTATTCAGATGAGCTCTTTGCTATGGGACCTAGATTTTACAGTTGAGATGGCTAGATGAAACTATAAGTTCTATGCTAACAGTTTCTTTTCTTGCACTTCTCACTTGTGGAACTCTCTTCTGGCTCCGTGATTTCCAGTAGACTTTAATCTGCAAAAATTTAAATGCAATGCCAACCGTTATCTACTATCTTCCTGATTACTCTTATATTTTTCTCACTCCTTAGTATTGTTTCTGTTTTCTAATTTTTCCACATCCTGTAACTCCTTGTGTCTTAGTGGCTTTACTGCCTTGCTTGGGGTGAACATGATTTAAATAAAAAAGAAAAAAAAAAGGAATACAAATTTGAAATAAAGAATCAGTTACCAACAAGATTTGAACACATATCGTTTATCCTTGTAAGACTGACTAAAACAGTGTATTACTGATTAGGTTACGAGAACATACCAGAGCCATCTTCACTTTCCAGCAGTGACAGTGTTCAAATCATTTATACAATCTTGTATAGGAAGAATTATTCTCTACTCTGCAGATGCAACATCGTAATCCTGTTACTTGTCTCTCACAACATCAAATGTTCAGATGCACTCCATTCTTTACTTCAACCAGTTCAGACCTTGTTATAGACATATGGTTGCAAGAAAGAAATACGACAACAACAGAAATAGATTTACATGATTTATTTCAACAGGAACGTATGGGTTTGGGACAGCTACCTTGTGGTAAAGTTCATAAGCCGGTTTCGGATCTAGGTCGATTTCTCATAGTAGTTCACACATGTTGACGGTGGTTGATGCTCTCCTGCTGCTGATTGCTTGGCCTGACCATGACAGGTCTGCTTGCGGCCACCTGTGGACTGCCTGTTGAACTTCTGTGTGACCCCTTTTATAGCATTTTTTTATGGCATAACAGGCTCGAGAAACGAAGCGAGTATAATTAGGAGGGAAGCATTTTTATTGGACGAAAAATAGAGCACTTATTTTATTTTTCGACCAGAACACGTATGTCGGGAACATTTGTAAAGAAAGATAATGGTCATTTTTTGACGGGGTTTTGTCCCGTTCACATCCGGTTCTCGCTCTTGTGTATAAGCCTGTAAATCAGCCGAGATATGTCTTATTTTATTTTTACAGTTAGGACACACCATGCTACTTCTACAGAGTTCAATCACCCTCATTTCCTCCATGTTCCAAATGTAAGGAGAAAGTTCTACTCACAATGCTGCTTTCCAAGAACTGTTATTTTGTATAACAGATTCCCATGTGGATGCTTCTTTGAATACTACAATGTTAATCTCTTCAAGTCAAGGGTTAATCATTATCTATTTCCTTATCCTTCTTATCACAAACATCATTCCTCATAATCCTCTAACTTTAGTGGCTCTTGATCCTTGAACGGGGTGCACTTTAGTACAAAAGAACTGATTGTTGTGATAAAAAGTAACAAAAATAAGATAAAAGAAAGACAGGTCAAAAAATTAATGACAACACTTCAATGATGAAATTTTGGACATTTCAAAAAAGTTGCCAAAAAACATTTCTATTCAAGAAGAAAGCAAAAAATTAAGAGAAAAAAAATATCAATATTTTTTTTTTATTTAAAAATTTTAAAATATAAAAAAATATTTTAAAGATTGAAAAAAAATCCTTACTTGACTGAACAACAAAGGCATCCATTTCGTAATTCCAACCACTCTTCAAATAATTCTCCCTCTTGTCCAATTGACATCGACTTCTCAATGGAACTTCCTAAGAACAACAAAAAAAAAATCAGTTGTTGACATGCATTGTAATAAGAGGATCTGTTAATATTATTTCCTATTTTTATAAATTTATTCTCAGCCAACCAGACTGAAATGAGATAAATCTATTCTCAACCAATCAAAGTGAAATGAAATAAATTTATTCTCAGCCAATCAAACTGAAGACAAAGTTAGAGATTTATAGGTATATGTGTAATGTTTAAATCCAACATTATTTCTGTTATATGTTTGAGTTGTTATCTTTGCTTTTTATTTTCTTAAACAATGAAATTAATAACAAACCAACCTAGGACTTCTCAATCTAGGCCTGTTATTATTAATTTTTCTGTTTAAGAAATTAAAAACAGGAATAGCAACTCAAGCCCATGTACCCACAAAAATATAGTAATAAGAAAGGTATATGTGCACAAGTTTAAGTTTAATAATTAAGGTTAGAAATGAAGAAAAAAATGAATTCATTTTGTAACCAGTTAAAACAAACAGCTTCCACGTGTTGTTGGAAATACAATGTATATCCTCGGGTTCAGAAAATACCCTAACATGCAAAAATCCTCACCAGAAAAAAAAGACAAATGATGGAAATAAGTAATTAAATGGTATTGAGTAAACGGTCACACTTATTGCAATAAAGGTGTAAATTCTAATCAATATTGGCATCAGTCATTATGGAAAAAGGTAAAGATAAGAAAATGAAGAAAACAGATTCATATATCAAAGTAGGTGTAGCATGTTTGAGTGATTTTTTAAGTGATCATGAACTGCTGAACATAAAGAGATTAATATTAAATATTATTAAAATTCTTATATGTTAACCATATCATTTTAAAATTTACTATTTCAAAATGTCTCAAATGATCCTCTTCAACATTTTTGTCAGTGTATAATGCAATTGGCAAAATTACATACACACACAGCCAATTTAATGTTATAAATTTTAGCTAACAGTTATAAAAACAAAAGAAAGGGTAGATTTATAATCAAAAATATTCTGTAAAAAAATATATCAACTGTACCTTCTCCAAATTCATTTAGAATAACAGCAATCCGTTTACCATGCTGTTCAGCCAATATATAATTCATTAATGTTGTCTTTCCAGCTC